GCACCTACCACCTTCCAGGCACAAGTAATGCAGAGATGAGTTGGCTGTGGTCTTTATCCTCATTCTAGAGGCCCAGTGCATGAAATTCGTGCACTCTGGGGGGAGAGGGGGGTCCCTCACCCTAGCCTGCACCCCTCTCACAGCCCAGGACCCCCAGAGGTTCTTAATGCTGCCACAAAGGCAGGAAAGGCTCCTGCTACCGCTGCTCCACTCACCAGCCACGAGCACAGCTTCTGGCTGAGTAGCACTCCCCCTGTGGAAGGACACTGACCCCCAGAGGGCAGCTCCTGCACTGAGTGTCTACCCCCTGGTGGTCAGTGTGCATCACAGCGACCGGTTGTTCAGCCATTTGGTTGATTTGCATATTAGCCTTTTATTATATAGGATAGCTCAGACTCAGAAATACATAAAAGTAAAGTGACCTTCAGCAAGGGGCTTTGCCTTAATGGCCTTCTGCTTCTTTGTATATTTGGGGAAGTTTGAAACAGAACCTACCTCATAGAGTCATACATGGAAATTAAGGAATTAATACAAGCAAAGCACTTAGAACAGAGCCTGGTCCATAGTAAATGCTCAATAAACACCAGCAATTGGCAGTAGTTGTTATTGTTGTGATTACTACTGTTACTATGGCCATCCAGGAAGAGATCAGACCTGTCCAGGGCAGAAGCACCTCCCACCCATCTTGTGGTCCACAGAACTCTTGCTCATGAGATGCTAGCAGGTATTTATGCAAAGAGGTTCTGCAGCCAAGTCAGTTTGGGTTTTAGTAAACAAAACTGGGAAACTGTAGCATTTCTCATAGCCTTTAACATGCTTACGTGAACCGTAAATCTCCAGGAAGTGGGATATGGCCTAACACGCAGCATTTCTCAAATGGACTTAACCAGGGAACCCTCTTTCAAGGAATGCTCATTACAAACCTGCAAAGAAAATGGTTGGAGGGACCCAGTGTGTGAAATGTTGTTCTCCAGTGTCAATCTCCTCTGCCAAGCTTGCCCAGCCCCCAGGCCTCAGCTTCCTGACCCTGACTCCTTCATATGGTCCAGTGCCTTTCTCTGTGTCTGTGATGCTGAGGCCCAGTCAGCCTCTCATAGCTCCAGATCCCGCCCCCCCCCACCCCCACCCCGGGAAAACCCGCTGGGGTGTTTCTGTGGAAAGATGAGCCAGGGCTGGAGTTTGAGAGCCCAGATGGGATTGAGGTCCATTAAGGACACGTTTGGACTTAATTCCAAGTGACCGACTCCGTATCGATTTGGGTCACTGGTGTTAAGGCATCACTTTCGCTTGTGTTTAATTTAAACAAATAGTAAAAGACTCCATCCTGTCTGGTATGTGATCTGGTGGATGTTTAATTCCCAGCACGGAGAGGCAGAGGGCAAGGTAGCAAGGAGCCAGAGGACTGCGTGAGTAAGTGTATGTATATAAGAGGCGGGGAGGAATGGGGGGGGGGGTAAGGAAGGGAGGGGGGGGTGATGGTGAAAAGAGAATGAGAACATTCTCATGAATAGATCTTTGAGGCAGACCCAGAATCCAGCATTCCTCTACCTCAGCTACTTGGCACAATTCTTTTCATTTCTCTGAGGCTTGGTTTACTTATCTGTAAATTCGGCATAAATAAAGCTGCCACAGAGGGCTCTTATGATGATTAAATGAGATCAGAGAGGTGGATCACACTGAGCTCAGGAAAGTTTTAAAAATCCCATTTCTCAGAGAAATATTGGCTTCGTGAGCCTGTGTATGTGTGCGCACACACATGTCATGTGTGAATGTGTGTACTTTAGCCAGGATGAACAATCAAGAGCTCCCGCTCTGGACTCTTCCTGGGTAGAAATCTGGTTCTGTTGCTGTGTGGCACTAGGCACGTTGCTTAGCCTCTCTGTGCTTTAGTTTTCTCATCTGTAAAATAAGAATAATGGTAGTCCAGCCTCACAGGCTACTGTGAATGCTCAGTGAGTGCCCAGCAAAGGAGAAGCACTTTCATAAATGCTTGCTACTCTCAGCACCATTATCAAACCTCCCCCAAGCCTGGGAGCCCACACCTTTGGAAACGAGGCTGTGATCAATAATAATAATATAACATATCCCGCCCCTCTCCTGGGAACAAACAAACTAGAGGTCACAGAGGACCCCTTTGACCTCTGGGAGTGTATCTTAGGGTCAGGAGGAAAGAGATTTGTTTTGTGCTGTAGCGCCCTCTGTTGGGAGAGCCTCGCTCAGCACCATGGACAGAGGGAGGCTGAGGACAGACCCTCCCACTTTGGCCCCTGGGAGGTCCAGGGCACCTCCCTGCTCAGCCATGGCACAAGGAGGAGGCATGTGCCATCCTGACTCACGGGTCTGAGTGCCAGGACTGCCAGTGGAGATCATGCTGCTGGCGGCCCATCCATTAGGAGACAGGAGCCAAGGGGCGTTCAGCAAATTAAAAGCCTGTGGCTGCCCTGGGTGACTTTCCTCTTGGCTAAATCACCTGTGCCCTCTGCTAACCGGGCTCTTGGTGCTTCATGTATGCCTGTCTCTGGGGCAGAAGAAAGGTCTCAGAAGCCGTGTTTTATAAAACAGGAGCTGGATGCACGGGGTCCCCCAAGAGAGGGTGTACGAAGGTGGTGGTATTACTGAGCACGCAACCCAGGGGGAGGGCGTCAGTTCTCTGAGAAGGTTCCTGCTACAGGAGGCCCGCCAACACCTGCCAAGTGGCAGCCTCGCACAAGAGCTGAGAATGCAGTGCCCTGCCTTCATCCATCCACCCATCCAACAAGGATTTCTCAATGGCCTACTGTGTGCCAGGACCTGGCTAAGAGGAGCAATAATTCTCATACAGGTTGAGATTACAAGAGCGTGGGAATGATTCGGAAGTCCTGGGGCTGAAGGGCCTACTTTACTCCTCTCCTGGTGCAATCCTTGGCCCTAAGAGCACCCCACCCACACCCCTTGGCTGACGGGCCTCCTTCCCTCCGTGTTAGCCCCTTGCTAGATGTCGCTCAGAGCTACCACAATGGAGGCATCTCTAGCCTCTTCCTGCTGCTCTCTGGGGATGTTTTCCCAGAGGGACCCATGGGTGAGCAGGGAGCTGGAATCCCACCCGAGCCCTGGCTCCCTCTCTAATGGCTGGACTGCAGTGAGCACAGACAGGAGCCCTCACCTGTTCAGGGTTCAGCTGATGAACTCAGGCCAACCTGCCAACACGAGGGTCCTGACACTGCTCCCCAGGCAGGAACGGCCTTCCGCAGAGAGCTTGGCACCCAGGATGGAGGTGGGTTCTGGTGGCATTTTCCTTGGCCAGAGCTGAGGTTGGGGAGGAGGCAATCAGAGACTTGGCATCATTGGATCAGCCCAAAGGAGGGAGGGTGTGGAGAGGTGACTTAAGCTGGCTCCCAGCAACTTGGGAAAGGAGAGACCTGGGAGGGGGTGGGTGAGCGGGAGGGAAGGACAGCCAGCCAAAGTGAAAAGAAAGGACCCAAGACTCTGGTATTCAAGCCAGAACCAGCCCCATCAGCCTGGCAGCCAATTAGTCTGATTCAAAAAAAAAATAAAAAATCCTCGTAGGGACAAACTGTAATCAAACACCTATTTATAAGGGTTTATTATGATCATTATTATTATTTTACTGAGAGGATCATTCTAAAGCCTGTCAGGTGAACATTTGCTTCCAGGTCTTCATAAATGCAAATCGCACCTTCTCGGGGCTGGGGCCCTGGCGGGTAGAGGGGGGGGAGGGGCTGCAGCAGGGCTGCCTGGGGGAGCCTGTGGTGAGGCTGGGAGAGGGCGGAGGGAGGAGGCAGGTCCCTGCCAGGGGGCATCTATGCACAGGCCTCCCCATCAGGAGGCTTAGCAGCCACCCACTGCTCACTGCCTTCCCTCAAAGGGCTGCAGGTGCAGCTGGCTGTGTACCCATTGGCCAGCTGGGTAAGTAGTGTAGAAGTCCATGAGGCAAGGGGACGGAGCTGGGGGAGCTGGGAATTCTCTGTGGAGTGCTGTAGAGAGCACGCTGGGTCCGGAACTGGAGACCTGCATTCTGAGCTCAGGCCTGGCCTGGCATGCTGACCTGGCTGTGCCCCAGCTGGCCTTCTCCAGGGATGACATGCGCTGAGTTGCCCCATCCAACCTCGCCCCCAGCTCACCCTGAGGGCTCTCCCTCCTAGGAGACCCGAAGGCCCACAGCCAGGCCCCAAGCTCCATGGTGTGTGTGTGTGTGTGTGTGTGTGTGTGTGTGTGTGTGTTGGTGGGAGGTAAAGGCTAAGATACAAGCCCCACGGTCCACTCCTCAGGCTGGAGTGAAAGGCGGCATCAGATCTGCCAACAAAGTGAAAACCTAGCCTCGGCCAAGAGGACACAGCCGGTTCCTTACCCATTCCCGGCTGGATCCAAGCCTGTGGATGTTCCAGGAAGAAGGGACAAAACACCCCATTTCCCCGTTCCTGGGGGAGGGCACCCCTGATTTGGAAAGTTTCAGAACACTTGTGCCCCTGGTCCTTTCCACTCAAGGCATTACTACCAGTAAGGGGCAAGGCCAGGTCTGGGGCCACACCCTGCCTGTTCTGCCCGCTGTGGAGGCATCCCTCCTAGGAGGCCCTGAGGCTGCCTCCCCATCAGTGTGTGTGTGTGTGGGGGGGGGCAGTGCGGGGAGCAGGGGAATCCCAGGGATGGAACTAGGTGGAGTGGGGTCAGCTGGAGCTTGGCTTCTGGAGGGCAGGAGCCTAGGTCAGCTGGGCGATGGTTGTGAAGACAAGGGTTTCCAGGGAGGTGTGAGGGGGAGGGTGTCCTCGGAGGTAGGGGTGGGGGAGATGACAGGGAGGAAAGAAAGAAGGAGGGTGGGGGGAGGGAGGGAACTCTCCTTCTCCCTGCAATAAATCGGCTTAGCGGAGAAAACCGAACAGCCCAGAAAGGATTAAAGAAAAGTCTGTATAATACAGCGGAGAGCGCGGCGAGGGGAGGGAGGGCGGGAGGGGAGGGCGAGGGGCGGGGAGAGAGGGGAGGGACGGAGGGAGGGCGCTGGGAGGGGGGCGCTCGCGCAGCCGGGAGAGGCGAGTGCGAGGCAGCGAGAGCGCAATTTGGCTCCAAACTCCAGCGCCGCCGCGGACCCGGATCCCGGCGCTGGCGGTGCCGCTCGCAGCCGCGGAGCCGGGAGCCGGCAGCTGCGCGCCCGGAGGACGCCCGGAGCCCGGAGCCCGGAGCCCGGAGCCCGAGGATCGCGGCGCCCGGCGGAGCCCGAGCCAGTCCAGCCCGGCGCCCGGGCAGCCGGGCCGCGGCGGCATGGGGGCGCCCCCGCGGCGCCCCGCGCTGTCCCCCGCCGTCTCGGCCGGCGGCCCGAGGCAGGAGCGCGCCTGAGCCCATGGCGAGGGGACCTGCCTCCGCCTTCGTCGCCGCCGCCGCCCCGCCAGCGCCGCCCGCCCCCGGGCACCATGCGAGCCGCCCCGAGCCTCCGCGGCTGCGGCTGCCTGCTGCTCGCCGCGACCCTCCACCTGGCGCGCGGTGAGTGCGGGCCCGCGGGGCCGGGCAGCGGCCGGGGGCTGGGGCCGCCGCCGGGGAGGGGCGCGGGCGGGGGTGCTCCGCGAGGCTCGGGTCCGAGCGCGGGTCCTGGCGTGGGGATCTGCGGAGCTGGTCGGCTCGGCGAGGGAGGCGGGGAGACTGTCTCCCGGGGGAGAGCGCTCTGGGCTCGGTCTGTGCCAGTGTGTGTGTGTGTGTGTGTGTGTGTGTGTGTGTGTGTGCATGTGTGTGCGTGTCTCTGTGTGCGTGTGAGTGTGTGTGTGCGCGCGAGATCGTGCCTTTGTTGCGCCCGGGTGTGAGGGTGCCCGGGTGTGAGGGTGCCCGGGTGTGAGGGTGCCTGGGTATGAGGGTGCCGGGGTGTGAGGGTGCCGGGTAGAAGCTGCGTGTGAAGAGGGTGCGGGAGCGCGTTGAGAGATGCGAATGTGTGTGCGGGTGCGGGCATGAGCGTGTCTGGAGGGGTGCAGAGTGTCTGTGTCAGTTACGCGGGGAAGGTGTGTGTGTGTGTGTGTGTGTGTGTGTGTGTGAGAGAGAGAGAGAGAGAGAGAGAGAGAGAGAGAGAGAGAGAGCCAGAGTGCTTGGGGCTCAGGGGGTGTCAGCCCCTCCGTGAGGGTGTGAAGTGTGTGAGCTCGTGCGGCTGTCTGTGTGAGCGTGGTGAAGGGTGGGTGCGTGTGCGAGGTGTGGCATTCCACGCGTGCCCCAAGCGTGCGGGCCCCTGGAGGGGTGTGTGACAGCAGAGGACTGTTTCTGGGCGGCGGCGTGCGTGCACAGCAGGTGGGGATGTGACCCTTGGGCAGAGCCTGGAGGTGCTGCGAGGGGAGGGGGGTCGTGTTGTGGACCCAGCGTGTGGTTGGGGGGCAGGTGTGGGCGCGTGGGGGTGCGGAGGCTGAGCGGTGGCATGTGTGTGTCCCGCATGGACTGGTCCCAGCTGGAAGGAGGAAGCCTAGCGGGCTCCCCAGAGCTAGCCATCCGAGGTCCGAGGCTCCGCAGCCCCCGGTCCTCCACTGCCTGGGTGCCTCCTGCTCTGGCTTACAAGCTGCGGGAGTGGAACCTGCGACTCAGGCACCTTTGGGTCCGGGAGCCAGGCATGGGCCAGCCGCCCAGCTGGAGGGAGGCGGGACCAGGGAGGAGCCCTCGAGGGTCAGAGTCCTGGTCCTGGATCCTCCCTAAGCCTCTGTCAAACCTGGGTGCCCCAAACCAGCCCCTCTGGAGTCACAGCCTGGCTCCGTCGTGGAGGGGGCAAAGGGCCGGGGGTGCCAAGAAGTAGCCATTGTGGCCATGGCCAGTAGGGCTCAGCCCCTGACTCAATGGGGTGATGGAGGTGGGGGAGCCTACTGCCCTCTGTGCACGCCTTGCCCTAAGGGTGGTGCCTAAGAGGCTCCTGGAGTGCTTGCCAGGGAGGGGCGCCCCTAAACCCCACCCCCTCTTCTCCGTGGTCCTTGGAGGGCGCGGGTCTGCAGAGGGGAGCCTGATGGTGGCCCTGCCGGCCGGAGGGGGAGAGGCAGGTGTGACCCAGGGGAAGGCAGACCCCCCACTTTGTCCCCCATCCTGGGAGCTCAAAGTGGATTAAATTCTATCCCCAACCTCGGATGCCCCTAGAGGGAGAGGTTGGATGGAGGGGAGGGGTGGGGGTAGGGGTTGCCCCGTTCCTGCGCTTCCTCCACGGAGAAGGCGCGGGGCTTTGTTGAGAGGCACCGGAGCCCTCACCTGGCCACTGCAGGGAGCAGGGCTTGGGGTTGGAGGCAGGAAGTGAGCACCCTCCCCCCCCACACCCCCTCAACCCCAATGCTCAGAACAGAGAGACCCGGCAGGAGAGGGGGGTGACGGCGAGCGATGGGAAAAGCTTTGGTGGGAAACCTGCTCCATCAGGACCCCACCCTGCGAGCTCCGGGGAACCGCGAACAGCGTTTTCTGGCTCCAGAGCTGCGGGCCTCCTGCAGCCCCCTGCCCGCCTCCAGAGCAGGCTGCGGGAGGCGGGCCCAGGACCCGGGGTGAGTGCCTCTGGGCTTGGGGAGCCTGAGCTTGGGGAGCCGGCTGGCCTCTCAGCTCTGCTGCTCAGGGTGAAGGAGAGGCGCAGACCCGGATCGCGCACCGGGAACTTTGCGAGCCTGGGGAGCGGACCAGGGTCCCAGCTGGCAGGGGAGCAGCCTGTTCTCCGCAGAGGAGACAATTCTGCGCGTGGGTGGGGTCTCTCCTTCCCGCCTCCAAGTCAGTGCCCGAGAGGGGGCGGGGATACAGTAGGGTCCGCAAGAGATGCAAGAGGCCGGCTTGCCGGAGGAGGGCGCGCTTCCTGGACCAAGAGCCAAGCGCCTGGCACTAGTCTCTGCAGGCCCACCTGCCCAGGCTGCCTCTGGGGCAAGGAGCATAGAATCTGGAGCAAGAATCATAAACTTGCTTGCTCAGTGGGGGACGGGGCGGTCATACCAGAGGGGGTCTCGGCCAATGTGCCTGGCCTGTTCTGCCCCTGTGGGTTGCAAAGCAAAGGGGTTCCTCTTCAGAGAGGTGGGTTAGAAAAGAGTCCAGGAGTCCTCTCACAGGCTGGCTGGCTGGGTGGCGGGAAATGCCTGCCACTGCCCGCCCCCCCCCCCCCAGCCCCCCTGCTCTCCATCACCCAGGGCGCCTGAATGGCAGTTTTCAACCGGGCACTTCTGGGAAGGAAGCTCTGCTCTTGGGCCTGCGCAGTGGCCCCGGTGGGGGTGGGGGTGGGGGTGGGGGTGGGGGCCCCAGGGGGTGGGGCCCCAGGAGTTGGAAGTGGGGTCTGGAGAATGGCTCTTGGACCTGCCACATGGGGCTCTGGGAAATTCTTCAGGAAGAGTAGGGGTGGGCAGGCCCAGTTAGGGGGAGCCAGAGGCCCTGCCAGTCCTCTCTGCACCATCACGCATCAGCAGGTGGGTTGGAGGGGGGTGGCTAGCTTGGCTGGGCTGAGGCAGCCGCAGCATTGAGACTGCAGGGCTGTGCTGCTGGAGCTGGCGTGAGGATTTTATATCTTTATCCTCCCTCTCCACCCCCACCCCATGCCCTGACCCGTTGGGGCTGGGCACCGCAGGCTCCTTCTGAGCCCTCGGCAGCTCTGTTAAAGGGCCTGCTGTGGGCAGGCTGCTTCTCTCCTGCTCCCCCAGAATGTCCCGACCCCCAGGCAGCACCTCCACTCGCTTCCCACCCCAGATGCAAACTGGAGCTTTGCCTGAGAGGTTGCATTGGGTTTTCTCTTTTATGTGCAGAGACTGTTAGGGCTGGTAGCGACCTCGGAGATCACTTCAGTGGTTCTGAAAGGTCTGTTGTTTTCTAAGCAGGAGAAGCTTGTTGAAGCAGCAGCTGATCTTCCTCCTCCCCAACCCTAACGCCTTAGGCCAGAGGATAGGCTCCAGAGGAGAGAGCCCCTGCCAGTGCGGTGCTGAGACCCCGTATGTAACAACCCTTCCACAGCAAGCCTCCAGCAAGCTCAGAGCGCGCCTGTCTCATGTCGGAGCTGGGGTTTTGCGTTTCCAATAACCACGATTATGTGGATCAGCTGCCACGTGTCCAGCACGTGCTGGCTGCTTCACAGCCCTCACGTACGCTGTGCGATGGGTTTAAGCTCCTCTTTTCACAGATCGGGAAAGCAAGGCTCAGCGTTTTAAGATTTGTTCATGGCAGGAGCACTGGCTCCTTCTGGCTCCCAGCTGGTCTAGCCCCAGACTCCCTCTTTCCTTCCCATGACCCCTCTCTCGGGCTGCAGAGAGTCCCGGGGTGCAGGGCCACGCTAGGGACCAGTGATGCCTTAGAAGGGCCTGGCTGCCTGACTTTCCAGAGTCTTTGTCTCATACACATGTAACTGCTGCTACAGTTCAGGGCGGGGTGCTGGGGGACGGAGGTGGAGGGGTTTGAGCAGCTTGCTTGGGCTTCTGAATAAGCAGTCTGTGACAGGCCAAACAAAGAGGAGGCTGGTTAGTCCTGTTAACGGCTTTCCTGGCATCCATGCAGGTGTCTGACCTGGCCTACCACCCTGCCCACCTCTGCTCCATCCTCAGGCCCCTTGAAATTCAGTTATTCCTGTGCCCACAAACGTCTAGTGTGTGCCGATTGTGCGCGAGGCACTGTGCTCATCATGGGGAACACAGCCCTGAACTCGGTGGGAGGGTTTTCTGCTAACAGCTTAGTGCAGTGGTCGGCAAATTTCGGCTCTCGAGCCACATGCTGCTCTTTGGCCCCTTGAGTGTGGTTCTTCCACAAAATACCACAGCCTGGGCAAGAGGCTATGTTGAAGTAGTGGCATGAGAAGAAGTTTAAGTTTAAAAAATTTGGCTCTCAAAAGAAATTTCAGTCGTCATGCTGTTGATAGTTGGCTTCGTTGACTAATGAGTTTGCTGACTGCTGGCTTAGCGGAAGATTGATTCTTCACTTAGCGGGAACGAGGGCTTGGAGCTTGGACCCTAGCTGAGCTCTCACTGTATGTCATGCATTGTGCGTTGCCGTTCTCATCCCCTTGAATGCTTACAACCACCCTGAGAGGTAAAATTAGCCTCATTTTGCAGATGAGTAAACTGAGGCTCAGAGAGGTTCAGTGACCTTCCCAAGGCCACCCAGTCAGTACATGGCAAGCAGAGATTTCGGCATGGGATTCTTCCCTTCTGTGCCATGCTGTCTCCTAGGGAGACCGGCCTGCAGTCAGTCCCCTCCCCGCTCCAGCCACATGGACGGTTGCAATGGATCCAATTCCCTCCCTGGGTGTTTTTCTCCGGCCCAAATCCCCATTGAGAGGATTGCCAGTGTGTTTGTCTGCACAGATGGGAGAGCGGGTGTCCCCGAAAGTCCTCATCATCATCTAGACAATGAGTGGGCATCTGCTGTGGGCGGGGCGCTTCTGAAAAGAGGAAGGCCTGAGACAGGGGTCCTCACCCCAGTGCGGGGAGAGGTTGGGCATGTTCCTGGAAAGAGGCACGGCGGTCCGGATCGAAGTGCTTTGATGCCTGCTTAGGGGCCAAGTGAATTGATGCCCCTCCAGCAGG